AAATGTATCCTGAGTTTCGTTTTCTTCCTGCTTGTTGTGATCAGCATTTTATGACATTGATCTGGCTGCAAGAAAGCTTTCCAGTGAATTTCCAAAACTAAAACCAAAACTACCTCAGTCTTTTCAGAAAGCAAAAGGGATTTTGCTGATTTGTAATGAGAGCCATTAACAGGAAATATATCTTTAATTTACTGGTATCAGGAATGAAAAGCTCTCAGACTGAAAACAAAAATGAAAATGCAATAAAAAGAAAAAGCCAGCAGTGCCAATATAAAAGGAGCAACATCTTGCATTATCATTTTAAATTACTTTTACGATACAATAAATTCTTGTTTAGACTAAATGATGGGTATTAAAGAGAGATCAGCATTCCAAATGATTATATTCTCCTGTGGATTGTAGCTGATCAACCAGCAAGCAGAAATATTTTGTACATATACACATGTATTATGTTTATAGGTATGCCGCTAGAAGGCGGTGTATACATTAAATAAATAATAACTACTGTGACAGTGATGGGGAGAAATGACAAGAATGAGAGCTCTTCATTGGTTTCTACATTCTTCCTTTTGCTTCTGAAATTTTATTCTGAAAAAGCATACAAAAGCTTTCTGGACAGGGAAATATCAATCCATTATTGGATCGGTGCCATCAGAATGTGTGTAAAAAAAAATATATGTCTGTGTGTGTGTGTGTGTGTGTGTGTGTGTGTGTGCGTGTGTGTGCATAAAAGAAAATACCAGTCATCAATATTTGGACTACATATATCTCCCTTAAATCTATCTAGGTGGTTACTAAAAGTCAACACTGACTTGATGGCACCTAATCAATCAATCAATCAATAATTTCTGCTATGCTGCTTTATTGGGAGGAGGTATATCTGACAGGGATGAGTGAAGAATGCCAGAAGAGTATATACCTGCAGCGATGTCACACAAAATGTGAAGGTCATCATAGTTGCCCAGTGAAAGCAAGCATCTATATTGGACAGAAGTGATTTAATAAGATGCCAAAGGTTTATGATTAGTAACAAGAGCAAGGGAATAATTTCATAAGTTGCAATAGAAGGCATAGGTAAATCACTCTCATATTTTACCAAGGAAAGCACATTAATAGACAAAATAAAGTGATTGATGATATAGTCCCAAATGATGGGCCTCTTTAAGCAGATGCTACTGAGGAAGGTCTAGGATATTTCTTAGTACTAATAATGTTCATGATGTGGCCAGGTAAATGCCTCTGGGATGTCTAATTGCTAATGCTGCCATCCAAAAAATGAAAATTCTAAGCTGCAAACATGAATTGTAATAGAAACATGGAACATAAGAAACATGAATATGGGAAAACGTAACAAAGTGGAAGATGAAATGAAAAAACTACACATTGACATATTAGGCATCAATGAACTGAAATAAACTAGAATTTTACATTTTCATCTAGAAGAACACAATGCAGAATGTACACATGTGTATGCATGCACAAACAAAAAAAAGGAACAGTGTTCTTTTCTTAATCAGGAAGGCAACTTGAAAGACAGTGTTTGGGTATAATGCAATCAAGGATTGAATAATATCAGTTGGATTTTGAAGACAACCCTTTAATATGACAGTTATTCAAGTTTATGCTCTAACCATTGCTGAAGAAGAGAAAGAATACTAGCTTCATAGTTCATGTTAAATCTGAAATTGACAGAATAGGTTTTTGAGTGCTAACATAGTCTTCAGATAAACAAAATGATGCCAATGTACAAAGATATTACTAGAAGGAATACACAGAAATCAAATTGACAATATTGTTAAAACATGGAAATAAAAATACTCTGTTATAACAGCAAAGGTGGGCTATAGAGCAGATCATAAATCAGTTTTCATATATCAGTTCTAAGTCAAACTAAATGAGAAGAATAAAGGCAACTGATTTTCATGATATGATTGTGAGTGTATGCATCAGGAATCATTTTAAAGTCCTGAACGTCATTGATATGGAATCAGAAGAACCATGGAATGAGATCAAAGATATGGTCAAGGATGAATACGAAAAGAGACTGCTACAGACAAGAAACAGAAGAAACTAAAATGAATGTCAGAAGAGATGGTAAAAATTGCCAAGAAAAGCAAAGCCAAAACTAAGAAAGACAAAGGTCTTAGGAAGAAACTTAACAAAGTACTTTAGAGAGATACTTTTTTTTTAAAAAAAAAACAGTATTACAATGACATCTGTAAAACCTCAGAGATGGAGATTAGATGAAACTAGATTCATCACTCCAATGAGAAAGCTACAGAACTGTGGGGAGTAATCAAAGAAGATTCAGTAAAGGTTGTAACTAAACTATGTCCATTGGTCTGGAGAATGACAGAATGGAAGAGGTCAGTCTACTAAGAATTCAAAAGATAAATGAATAGGAAAAGTGAGCCGAGGTGGTGCAGCAGTTAGAGTGCAGTACTGCAGGCCACTTTAGCTGACTGTGTTCAGCAGGTCAGCGGTTCAAATCTCACCGGCTCAAGGTTGACTCAGCCTTCCATCCTTCCGGGGTAGGTAAAATGAGGACCCAGATTGTTGGGGGCAATGTAAATATATATATACATTGCTTACTGGTGTACACCGCTTAGAGAGTGCTTGCACTTAAAGCGGTATATAAGTCTCATAAATAAATAAATAAATAAATAAATAAATAAATAAATAAAAGTGCCTGGACCTGATAATTTACCAGCCTCTTATTATAAACATTTGAAGATGAATTATTACAAATGCTGCAAAAAAAATGATGAACTCTATTCTATAGACCAGGGGTCTTCAAACTTGGTCCTTTTATGACTTGTGGACTTCAACTCCCAGAATTCCTCAGCCAGGCATGCTGGCTGAGGAATTCTGGGAGTTGAAGTCCACAAGTCATAAAAGGGCCAATTTTAAAGACCCCTGCTATAGACTGAAAAGATACTGGATGATTGGATGGAAGCTAATCTAGCATTTATATCTAAAGAGAGTGAAGACTTTATTTAAAAAAATTACCACCTGATATTATTACAGAATAATGGTTAGAAGTTATTTATGATGAGTTTAGTCAAGAGGATGACAATGATCTTACTTTATTCATGAAAATCAGTGTGGGTTTTTGCTTAAAAACACCTGAGGGACAATATTAGAAATGTATTGGACATTTTGGAATATTATAAAATAACATAATAAACAAACAGTGCTGATTTTTCTTGATGCAGGAAAGGGCTTTGACAATCTGAACTGGACTCTCTTGTTTAAAATTTTGCAGGACGTGGATTTTGGTGAGAATTTATTAAATGGGTAAAATTGATTTATACTTCTTCACAAGAGGCACAGATGGTTGTGAATGGAGACTTAACAAAACCTTGTGAAATATAGAAGGGGACAAGACAAGGATGTGGCTTATCACTATTTCTATTTATTTTAGCTTTGGAAGTACTGAATAGAGGAATAAGATAAGATTGGAGAATTGCTGGAGTGAGGATTTAAAAAGAAACATATAAATTACTGGTATTTGCTGATGATTTGATAATAATTTTGGAAGATCCCCTGGAAGGAATAAAAATAAATCAGATTCTTGCAGGCAATAGTTTTCCCTGTGATACTGTATGGAAGCAAAAGTTGGATTTGGGGGGAGAAAACAATTGGAAAAAATATCAATGCTTTTGAAATTTCATATTGAAGAAGACTCCTGAGAATATCTTAAATACCCAGGAAAACAAACGGATTGTAGAACAAATCAGTCCAGAGTTCTCACTTGAGACATAAATGTTCCGGCTCAATTTATTATATTTTAGACACATTTTGCACAGATCTAGTTTTCTTGATAAGTCTATAATACTGGGAAAAGCAGGAAGAGAAAAAGAGGGCTACCAGCAGACTCAATTATAATAAATACAAGTGCCCTTTTGGGAGAACTCAATGGCCAGGCTGGGGACAGATTATAAAGAGGGTCTACTTAGGTGGCCCTTATGAGTCAGTAGCAACCTGATGGCATATAATCAAAGCACACCAATCACACATGCACATATATCAAATTCTCAATAGGAGACAATAGCCAGTTAACCTTACCTGGGCCACCTTACCTTGCAGAAACTAAGCAAAGGTAAGCCTGGTTAATTCTGACAAAGGAAAACTCCATAGAAGCTAGCCTATTTGTCCTCTAGCACAAACTACAAGGAGACAATAGTAGCTGCAGATTATTAAATTTAGAATTGAAATACTATAACCATTACAGTAGTCAACCTAAATTCATCAGGTCAGCAGATAAGTACAATGAGAAAAATTATTGATGGTGGTATATCAATGTACTTGATATAGTTTTAACAGCAGAATCATATTTAGATCTCTTCCCTTGATGGGGTTTGTTTTTCTTTGTCATCTGGCCTTGCTTGTGTGTGATGTCTCAGACCTCTATTTGTTCTTTTAAGATGAGATGCTGCAAGGTACAAAATGCAGCACTGTGCCTGGGATTTGGCTCATCCTCACTGGAGGTGGCCTTAGGGATACCATCATGAATGAAAAAGGATTTAAACTGCCCATTCCTTCCTTCCTTCCTTCCTTCCTTCCTTCCTTCCTTCCTTCCTTCCTTCCTTCCTTCCTTCCTTCCTTCCTTCAGTGTAGAACTACATGGATTTGCCCGGAAAGCTGCAGGATTGAGATTCTAAGACTGTAAACATTAGCAATGGCTCCCTCCCCCGTTATACTTCTGTTCAAATAAGAGGATAAAAATGGGAAATATAATCGGCTTTATTGTAAGTCATTGTTGTGGATTGTCTCCACCAGAATATGGGAGCTAAGTACATATTCATCTTCTTTCCGGGCAAAACAAAGTGCCACTGATGATCCCAATATCCGGGTGCATGTGTGCAAATTCCACCATCCGCTTTAGCTCTGCCTGAAGAGCTGAGGTGCCCCGGAGGTGTCCCAGAGTTAAGTAAACTCCGGCTGGCGCTGAAGGCGTTAAAACTGAGCGCGCGCGGCGGCGGGGGGGGGGGGGGAGAATGACGCTGCTTGCGTCTGGGAGCTCTTCGCCTCCCCTGCCTCTGCAGACACATTGAGACACACACACAAAAAGGAGAGGAGAGGCTGCGCCGCGCGAGCGGAATTCCGAAGGAAGCGCCAAACCAAGCAGACGCCACCATGACCGAAACCACCAAAACCCACGTTATCTTGCTGTCCTGCGGCAGCTTCAACCCCATCACCAAAGGCCACATTCAGATGTTTGGTGAGTTCCCCGCCCTGTGCTCAGCCCGTTCAGCTGGTCTCGCCCGGTGTTTACTTGACAAGTGCGCTTGAATGGGGTGGCTCGGGGACCCTGTGTGTGTGTGGGGGGGGGGGGGGGCGCGCTTCGGGACGCTTCCTCGGTGGGTCCTGGAACGGCAGCGAAGCTGCTAAGACTAGGTGGAGCGAGGACAGAGAAGATCCGAGAGGTGTTGCGCGGCGTTTTGCTGTTGCTTTCCCTGCGGGGAGGGGAGGGGCGGCGGCTCGTATCGATCTAAATAATAGCGGGGGCTGTTTGGAGAACACTTAGGAGAGGAGTCAGAGAGGAGGAGGGGGAGGAGGAGCAGACCGGAGGGTCTTTAGTCCCACCCGAGCACTACCCTAGGATGGGCGCAAGGCAGGGGAGGGGCTGGGGGAGCCTCTCCAGAAGGGTTCAAGGCGGGTGGAGTAGCTAGAGGAAGGGTTGGATGAGGGGCGGGGATGGCAGATGGCTCTACGCAGAAAAACTGAGGAGTAGCCTTGTCTAGTAGCCAAGGGAAGGGTGGGTGGTTGTCAGAGAAGGGGGAGGCCTTTATGGGGCGGTTGTTCAGGGAGTCCTTCTCCTTGGGAAAATGTCAGCCTCGCTACCTGGGCACCTGCTTCTGACGCAGAAATGGACAGGGAAGGGGGGGAGGCAAGAATTGAACTGCTTCAACACCCCCCCTCCACGCCAATATGGCATGAGTGGGGGGTAAAGCCCCCATTTACTGTAATGTGCATTTCACCGAGAAGCTCTGCTTTGCCTCTCTGGGTGGACTTTGCCAGGAGTTTTCAATCCAACACTGCTCTCTGAAAAGCCTGACTGTAGGATCCTTAGATTTGAAAAGCAGGATTTGTTGCACTTCTGGTTTCCATTCATTAAGATATTTGTGCTGTGCCTCTGCACTGTGTCTGTTATGCATGAAATGGCTGTAAACACAATTGTGTACTTCATCACAGGAAGTAATTTTATTGTACTAGTTATGGGAGGGAGCATTTTGGAGCTCTGAGGTATGAAGGAAAGAGATGAGGAAATATTTTCTTGTACTGATAGTACATCTGAAGGTTAGCTATACTTTTAGGACACAATCTCAGAAGAAAATTTCAGTGTATTGTTTGTATCTTGTCTTGTCTAATTTGGATGGAGTAGCAGCTGTTGCCAAATATAACCATCATTAAAGTTGCATTTTGGAATACATACTTGGATTTTGTGTATAAACAATAGTCTCAATCTCATACGTTTACTGGCCATACATGCTAATGTATATGCAATTTGAGAGGTCCTTGATGCTCTCTGAGCTTGCTTGTTTTCTTGCAGACATTTCATTACCCAAACTAAGTAACATCATCAGTGCTAGCACTGACAACATTATCTAATTTGGGTAGTGAAACCTTTGCAAGAAAACAAGCAAGTCCAGAGAGCACCAATGACCCCTCATGTCAACCCTGAGCTACAAATATTCTCCCGTATTATTAGTATATGCAATTTGAGAGGAAAGAATGAAAAAGTATTGGTTCAAGGCATCAATTTTCTTCACTCGGTTTTTCCCTCATTATATATTTGCACGTGTGGTGGCAAGTGGAGCTAATCCATGCTAATGAAGTGGAGTACAAAATCCATGTGATTTGTGACCATCATTCAAGGTCTGTTCTGTATAAGGTAATGGATTATAATGGCTGTTAATATGCTTTGGCAGAATAGTTAAGATTGTTTGCTGTCCGCAGCTCCCAGTGCTGAAATGGCTTCTCTGGAAGAATAGTAAACCATAGTCCTCACCTATCAATATCAGGGAGTTTAGAGATTGATGTTTTGATGAGGTATAATGATTGAAAATAAATATTTAAGTGCACTTAGTTCATAAGATCAGCTATTGTACATCACTGAAAAGTGGTGTCTCCTTTCAATAACATTTGCAAAGACAACTTAGTAAAGGAATTGTGCTATTATAACCCAGCACAGGGTATTTAACACTCAGGAAAAGCTATTCATATCTTTCCCGCCCCATTTTAACTTTAGAGGTAAATGTTATTTTTAGAAAACTGCATTCTAGACTCTAATTTAAGTGGAACATTTAATAGAGCCAGAAGATGACATTATCAACCAAATTATAGGAAAGAATACTTTAAAAGTAATGCATATACTGTGTAAGTTAAAAACTAATTTTGTATCAACCTTATAAGATTTTTCTACTTCATTATGTATGAAGGATGCTCTTTTGTAATACGTTTTGTAATGTATTTTCAACTTCAGGAGCAAAAATAGGAATATTTTTATTTCATACACCAATCTATGCTAATTGTGCTCTGCAGTTAAAATAGATCTGCATGAGTCTAGTAATATATGTGTTGATTGGACAATAGAGCATAATCAAAACTAAAAACTCATTCTCTTTCCCCTTTATTCTGCCAGGAGCCTGCTGAGCTTGTAGATACTTTTATTTCCATTTTTTCCTCATTTAATGCAACCTCTCATAAAGGATTTCACATCTGCATGCTCTCTTTCTCTTTAAAGTGCATGCGGTATTATTGTGATGTCAATATTTGTGTACAAGGAAAGAAAGGAAGCCAATATTCTTTCTGAATAATCCTTTGATTTTCCACCTGTCAGCAAAGTGGGGAAAAAGTCTGGTCCACATTTACTGCACAATTATTTATATGAAGTCCTGAGCCCAAATATTTGTAAATCCTTGCCTGCTCATTTGCCAATATAACCTGCTATCCACAGTTCAGCTTTGTCTTACTGGAATGAGCAATCAATTGCTTATGTGCAGAGAATGGTTGTCATATAATTCAAGAATCTCTAGAATTGTCCTTGAGGACCAGATAATAATGGAAATGGAGAACCACCAGAACAAAGTGGCTAAGTAAATAGGCATCTATTATATCAATCAAATTTTAATATTACCCATTGAAATTATCCCAGGTGAAATCTAGCCTGCCTTCCTCCCTCCCTCCCTCCCTCCCTCCCTCCCTCCCTCCCTCCCTCCCTCCCTCCCTCCTTTCTTTCTTTCTTTCTTTCTTTCTTTCTTTCTTTCTTTCTTTCTTTCTTTCTTTCTTTCTTTCTATCTTGCAATTTGAACCAAATGTATTTCTCCCTTGTGCTTAATTTTATTCTTTTCTAGACTGTGACACTTCCCTCTGTCCCTTAAACTCCTTGACTATTATCATTTCTTATTATTCCTTCAAACTTTGGAATGCCTATTTATCCATTAGATTTGAGATTCATGTTTAGGCGCATGTAAGAAACATCATTTTTCTTCAGGCAGAAAAAATCCCACATGTTTAAAGGCGTAACTGAAGGTGGCTCTAGCACTGAATGTTGTCTTTTTAATTCCACATAATTTGATTGGTGATATTATTATTTTGTTCAAAGTAATTAGCATCCTTTCTGATACCAGTCATCATATACATCTTAAAATTGAAATTAATAATAATGGAATGGGCATGTATTTCATTGTAAAATTTAGATTTTTCAGCTACCCAAATAGGTTGTTCCTATGAAACTTTCTCCCTTCCTTCCTTGTCTTTTTTGTTTCCATATCATCAACATTTGGATAGTATGTTGCTTAAACATATACATATGTGTATATCTGCAAACATTTCTCTGTTCAGAACAACAGTTTTATACTTAAACTGAAGCATAATAGTGATGGAATATGCTATGAATTATGGATAATAATTCTGATTTATTGTATTATATGGAATTCAACTAAATAAATCATGCCCAACGCAAGGAACAAAAGCAGTATACAAATGTTAGATGTTGTTGCTATTGTTGTTACTACTATGTTTAGAATTATGGTAATATTAGATATGACCACATTTTAACGAAATGTGAAGATAATGTGCAAGAGATTGGTGTATAATGAAATCACAGCTCCAGCAATGAGTATGAGAGGAGAGCCAATTTGATCTAGTAGTGAAGACACCAAGAAACCAAGAACTAAGAGTTTTGGTCCTGCCTTAGGCATCAAAGCTACATGGGTGACTTTGGGCCACTCACTGTCTCTCAGCCCATGACATCGGGCTTCAGTAACAAGCCAGTGAGTCAATTTTTGTCACACACTCTGAAAAATAAGTAGACCCTGCACTGGGAGAAGATGCTAGGACAGGGGTTCTCAACCTTGGCAATTTTAAAACTTGTGGACTACAACTCCCAGAATTCCTCAGCCAGCTTAAAGTTGCCAAGGTTGAGAACCCCTGTGCTAGGAAATTTTTAAAAAAAGGAAAAGAAGAGATAAAATCATAGAAATGTAGATTTAGGAATGACCAGTTTCTGCTTAGTGCAGGAGTACAAATTGAAGTATTTCTGACTGATGATGATGAAGATGTTTGCAATGTTCCTTGTTTTATGATCTTAAAAGATAGAGAATTTATTTTTAAGAAAAAATGGAAGTGGAACACTTGGTTTTAAAAGGATACATTTCTGTGAGGACACATTGATGAGACTTTTTTGTTAATATCACATGGAGACTGGCACATTTTATGAATTGAAGTAACTATTAGAAGGATAAGAGAAGAAGCAATGTCCTGCTTGAGATCTGTGAAAGTGTAATGGTACTGTTGCAGAAACATTGCTTCTGCTCAAAAGCTATTCTGAAATAAAATTGTTAGGTTTCACCATTCAGTGTCCCAGGACCTCGTTTTTCCTTTTCTGTTACTTGTTTTTTTGGATTAGGATAAAAAAATATATATGGAGAAATGAGAACTGATAATATATATCGCTTCCTTTATTGTGCTATCTTTCTTAAGCCTTTGAACAGCAGAACATTTGTTTTTGTGGCAGCATAGCTGTCTCTTTGGGATATGTTATTTTAATAATTTTCAATATATCACATGAGCTTGCTTCATTCTGCACTTTTGCACAATTGTATCCAAGAGAGGTGCCACTTTTGCTTTCTGTAATAACACTATAAAATAAGGGTGTCTATGAAAGCATTATCTGTGAACCTATAAATATTTTTGTAGTATTTATTTATATTCCAT